AAAGTCCACATTTGGTTCTTGAGAAAACATTTAAAAATCTAGCTTTTGCCCTCAATACATTATTCCAAAAAAAAATTGGTCCTCCAGAAGATATTGTTTAAAATCCATGTTTGGTCCTTTAAAAATATTTTTTTTAAAAATTCTTGTTTGGTCCTTGAAAAAAAAAATAATAAAAAAAACCCATTTTCATTTTGAAAAATAAAATCCAGTTTTGGTCCTTGAGAAAATATTCTTAAAAATTTTGGTTTGGTTTTAAGAAAATATTTAAAAAATCCACCTTTTATCCTTCAGAAAATATTCTTTAAAATATCCAGGATTGGACATTGAGAAAATATTCCTAAAAAACCAGGAGAAAATATTCAAAAAAAAAAAAAAAAAATCACCGTTGATCGTTCAAAGTATATTCTTTAAAATCCAAGTTTGGTCCTCAGAAATTATTCTTTAAAAATCCATGATTGGTCCTTGGGGAAACTTTTTAAAAAATCACCGTTTGGACTTGGAAAAAATGATTCTAAAAATCCAGGTTTGGATCATGAGAAAATATTCGTGTAAAATTCACTTTTGGTCCTTTAGAGGATATTCAAAAAAATCCATGTTTGGTCCTTCAGAAAAATTTCTTTAAATATCAAAGACTGGTCCTTTAAAAATATTTTTTTAAAAATCTATGTTTGGTCCTTAGGAGAATATTCTTTAAAAAAAAACATATTAGGTGCTTCAGACCTTTTAAAAATACATCTTTGGTCCTTGAGACCCTTAAAAAAATCCACTTTCTGCCTTGAGGAAACGTTTTAAAAATCCATGCCTGGTCCTTGAGAAAATATTTTAAAAAATCACCGTTTGGATTTTGAGCAAACCAGATTTGGGGCATGAGAAAATATTCGTAAAAAATCCACTTTTGGTCTTTTATGTCCTTCCGGTCCTTCAGAAAAATTTCTTTAAAAATCCAAAATTGTTCCCTTAAATAAACATATTTTTTAAAAATACATGTTTGGTCCTTAGGAGAATATTCCTAAAAATACATCTTTGGTCTTCCACATGTTTGGTCCTTGAGAAAATATTCTTAAAAATCCAGGATTGGTCTTTGGGAAATCATTTTTCGTCCTTCAGAAGATAGTTTTTTAAAATCCATATTTGGCTATTCATAAAATATTCTTAAAAGTCCAGGTTTGGTCCTTCAGAAATCATTTAAAAAAATCCACGTTCGATCCTTTAGAAAATATTCTTAAAAGTACACGGTTGATTTTCCAGAAAAATATTCTTTAAAAATCCATATTTGGACCATATTTGTAATATTCACGTTTGGCCCTTGAGATCATTTTAAAAAATTCAGGTTTGGTCCGCAAGAAAATATTCTTAGAAAATCCACGTTTGGTCCTTCAGAGGATGTTCTTAGTTTCTTCCTTGAGAAGATATATTTAAAAAATCCGCGTTCTTCAGAAAATATTCTTTAAAAATTTAATTCAAAATATTCTTACAAATTTGGTCCTTGAGACCATTTTAAAGAATCCGTTTGGTCCTTAACAAAAATTTTGGTCCTTCAGAAAATATTCTTTAAAAACCCGCCTTCGGTTATTCAGAAAATATTTTTTAAAAATCCACCTCTTGTCCCTTGAGAAAATATTCATAAAAACACGTTTGGTCCTTAGAAAAATATTATTTAAAAATCCGTGTTTGGTCCTTCAGAAACTTTTCATTAAAAATCCACCCTTGGTCCTTCAGTGAAAAACCTTACTCCTTAGTTTCGCTTTAGTCCTTCGGAAAATATTAAAAAATCCACAATTGGTCCTTCGTTTGTTTAGAAATCGTTCTTAAAAAACCACCATTTGATTCTTCAGAATATATTTTAAAAAACTACTTATCCTTGAGAAAATATTAAAAAAAAACTACTGATTTTTGAGAAAATATTAAAAAAAACTACTGATTTTTGAGAAAATATTTTAAAAAAATCTACGTTTGGCCCTTTTAAAATATTCTTTATAAATCCACGTTTGATCCTGCAGAAAATATTTTTTAAAAATCCATATTATTTCCTTGAGAGAATATTCTTTAAAAAATCACATTAAGTCATTCAGAAAATATTTGAAAAAAATCCAAATCAGTAAACAATCTTAAAAATCCACATTAGGTCCTTCAGCAAATATTGTTTAAAATCCATGTTTGGTCCTTGAACAGGTATTCTTAAGAATTCATTTTTGGTCCCTGAGCAAAACATTCTTAAATAAAAATTTAATTTCGTTCGGTTCGGTCTTTGAGAAAAAGTTTTTTCTAAATTCACTTTTATTCTTAAAAATCTGCATATGTGGTCGTTGAGAAATTGTTCTTCAAAAAATCCAAATTTTTAGAGAAAGCTAGCATTTTTTAAGATTTTCACCTCTTGAAACGCCCTTTGAAAACATTTTTTTTTATAGAAAACTATTTGATAACGATTTTTGTCATTTGAGGACCAAATAAAACGAACCTAAAACCCTTCAAAAGGCAGTTTATGTATGTTGTTGTATAACAGTTTATTTTCACTATAATACAATCAAATTATTACTGAAATATATTATTGTGCTAATGAATAAGTAAATAATTGCAATAAATTTGCAATTTTTTGTGAGTATAACAGTTTGGCGTAACTGTTATACACCCCAAAAAATATTTTCGTTAGATCTGGTTATTCATTCTAAGAATGAAGAAATTTTTTTCAAGTCATTAAAGGCTGTATAACTGTTTGTTGTAACTGTTATACTTCAAACAAGTTGAAGAAAATTTCTCTTTTTTTGTATTTTTTGCTCTGCAAGTAAACAATTGTAATAATGTACAGTAAATAATTCCAATAATTATTGTATTTTTGTTAGTATAACAGTTTTTCATAACTGTTATACTCCTGTAAATCGTTTACATTTGGTAATTTAATGTATTTAATGCTTAGACAAGAGTTTGAAGGGTCATTTAATAGTGTATAACAGTTAAATATAACTGTTATACTGTTTATTTTAACTTTTATTAAAACTGTTATACAATCGAATAATTGTTAAAATTACCAATTTTGCTATTGTACATTTAAATATAACAAAAATGTCTATTTTTGTGAGTATAACAGTTTGGTAAAACTGTTATACACCTTCAAATAGTTTGCATTTTTGATCCTTTTATACATTAAATATAATAATAAGAGTTCCTGAAGCCATTTCAGGCAGTATAACAGTTTACTATAACTGTTATACATTGCAAAATTTTTCGAAATTTGTAAAATTTTCATAATTTTTAAAACTCTGAACATTTTCTAAAATAAGTTAGCCACAAAATGCCGAAATTTCTGTCAAAAATATTTTTATATGTAAGTGGGATTGTATAGCAGTTAACATTAACTGTCATACAATCGAATACTTGTTAAAATAACCAATTTTGCTAATGTACTTTCAAATATAACAAAAAATTACTTATTTTTGTGAGTATAACAGTTTGGTGAAACTGTTACACACCCTCAATTAGGTTGTATTTAAGCTTTTTATACTGTTATACACTATCAAATAGTTGACTTTTGATCATTTTATACATTTGATGCATTCTTTAGGGATTTTTAAAAGTCTATTAAAAAAAGTATTACAGTCTATTAAAACTGTTATACATTGCAAAATTTTTCGAAATTTGTAAAATTTTCAAAAATTTGAAACCTTTGAATATTTTCTAAAATAAGTTAGCCACAAAATGCCGAGATTCCTTTCAAAAATATATTTATATGTGATTGGTATTGTATAACAGTTAACATTAACTGTTATACAATCGAATAATTGTTAAAATAACCAATTTTGCTAATGTACATTTAAATGTAACAAAAATTAGCTTATTTCTGTGAGTATAACAGTTTGGTGAAACTGTTATACTCTCTAAAATTGGTTGCTTGTGATCATTTGATACATTTAAAACATAAATTAGGGGTTTTTAAAACCTTTGGAGGCAGTATAACAGTTTATTATAACTGTTATACATTGCAAAATTTTTCGAAATTTGCAAAAATTTTCATAATTTCCAAAACTCTGAATAGTAAGTCATTAAAAAAAATGCCAAGTTTTCACAATTGTAACTCCAGAATTCTATTCAAAGGCCAATCCAAGGATTGTCAACAAATCCGCAACAAAGTTCCGAAGATCACATTGAAAAATAAACGTTGAAACTGGCACGTAAACAACAATGCTAAATAAACTAATGTAATGGCAAAAAATAATTAACGAATACCAAAAAAAAAGTCAAGGAACCAACCATGTCGTGCAGAAGAGAAGATCTAACCATGATGATGGGGAAATACCCAAGTACACCGTTAAAGATAAATTTTTATTGATTTTTCCTATGCCAAATTGGGTTGGCGGGGGTAAACAAAACAAAAATACTCGCACGCACAGCATAAACAGCTCTCAAATTTGTTGTTGCTGAAGAGAGCATAACGCATGCCATGAACCATGTAACTCTTGAGTGCTCTCTCCAAATGCCATGGCTTGGCGCAATCCCAGCTACTGTGCGATGTGATGTGATGTTGCGCCTCGCCTGGTCTTAACCAAATTTAAAATATCATTGAGCCGTAATGTTGACTTGTGTTGGCTTTTGAGTCAATTTAATGAAAATCAACGGCCAACCAACTAAAAATCCACTCAGTTGTCGACAAACTTTTAAACGTAACGGTTGTGAGCATGCGCATGCGGTCACATTGAAACGGTTTTAAGATATCTTTTTTTTTTTGCTGGTGCTGTTGTTGTGGGCTGGATAAGAGCTTTACCGTTTTTTGTGTATTGGCTTTTAATGCTACAAAAAAAAAAAAAAAAAAAAGCAACAACAAAAAAGTGAATTTTATATTTGTTAATACTCCACAACACCATGGAAGTTAAACAAATTCCAAAAAATATTCAAAGGAAAAATTTGTGAAAAAAAAATCTAAAAAAATTGAAATGAATTAAAAAAATTATTCGAAAAAAAATTAAATTCCAAAATCATCGAAAAATTTAAAAATTTTAAATAAAAAATCCCCTCAAATCCCTTTTGGAAAAAAATACCAAAAAATCCCTTAAAAAATGGTTGTGGTCCCTGCCTTGGGTGCCGCTGCCTCCTCCGTGGCTGGCCTGCTGTTTAAGGCCAGTTCTGCCTCAACAGTTGCCGCCTCAGCTGGCCTGGCGGTGGGAGCTTCCAAATTGAGTCTGGCCATTGCCGGGGCCATTAAATTGGCCACTGCCATAATTGGTGTGGGTAAACTAACAATTATCCCCTTTCTGATAGCCGCCATTGCCTATTACAATTACGATTTATTCGATCCCGAAAATCGCCCCTTTAATGTGAAAGAAGTTGATCGGGTCTATGATTTCATAATTGTTGGTGGTGGTTCGGCGGGTTCGGTGCTGGCTTCGAGGCTATCGGAAATACCACATTGGAAGATATTGCTGCTGGAGGCGGGTGGCCATGAAACGGAAATATCAGATGTACCGCTGCTGTCGCTGTATCTGCATAAAAGCAAAATGGATTGGAAATATAGGTGAGTTCCTGGGTTCGAAAATGTGACAAGGGGGGATAAGAACGGCAATTTTGAATTGGAAAAATTATGTAGCCAATGAGGAAATGCAATTTTCTTAAAGCAAAAAATCTAATAAAAAATTTATTTGATTTTGGAAAAAATATTTTCGGGAGGCGAAATAATCGTAGCCGTCAAATTCTGCAGAAACACATCTCAAATCTTGAAATTTATTGACTTAATTATATTTAGAGCATATAAAAATACACAAATTGTGAAAATATTTCAACATTTTGTAATGTATAACAGTTATCGAAAACTGTTATACGGCCGTTTTTTGGCTTCTAACCAACAGAAACGTTTTGTTGAAACTTAATTTGTTATATTTTCAAATTAATAACATTTTTGGAGTTGTAGAACAGTTTTTCGTGATGTATAACAGTTATGCCAAACTGTTATACACCTCTGAAAATTCATATAAAATGCTTAATTAACTTTAATATAGGTATCCTGTTGAATTTGGGTTGAAATTTTATAGTATAACAGTTTCTGTTAACTGTTATACAACTAAAAATAGTTAAATAATAAATCCAAAAATATATATTTTGTGTTGTTAAACCTTAATTTTTTGTTTTTCTAAAAAATAAAATTTTTTCAGTTGTAGAACAGTTTTTCGTGCTATATAACAGTTATGCCAAACTGTTATACTCCTATGAAAATGCATAAGAATGCTTAATTTGCTTAGATAGAGGTATCCTGTGTTATTTGGTGCGAAATTTCGTAGTATAACAGTTTTTGTTAACTGTTATACAACTAAAAATAGTTAGAAAACAAATCCAAAATATATATTTTTTATTATTTTGACACAAAAATAAATAGAAAATATGTATATACCGCCATTTCAGATCTCATTAGTAATGACTGCCTAGGAACGTTCTAATTTTAGTTGTATAACAGTTATTTTGGACAGTTATACGTACTTAATCACGCAGTAAAGTGGTTTGTTTAACCTTAATTTATTATATTTTCAAAAAATAACACTTTTGCAGTTGTAGAACAGTTTTTCGTGCTGTGTAACAGTTATGCCAAACTGTTATACTCCTCTGAAAATGCATAAAAATGCTTAATTAGTTTTAATATAGGTATCCTGCTGAGTTTGGGTTGAAATTTCATTGTATAACAGCTTTCGTTAACTGTTATACAACTAAAAAATAGTTAAAAAACAAATCCAAAATATATAAATTTTTTATTACTTTGACACAAAATGAATAGAAAATATGTATATACCGCCATTTCAGGTCTCATTATTCAGAATTTTCCAATTTTGTTTGTATAACAGTTATTTTAAACCGCAAAACGGACTAAATCATGTTGTACAATGTTTTATTAAACCTTAATTTGTTTATATTTTCTAAATAAGAACATTTTTTGAGTTGTAGCACAGTTATTGGTGCCGTATAACAGTTATGCCAAACTGTTATACTCCTCTGAAAATGCATAACAATGCTTAATTTGCTTAAATATAGGTATCCTGTGTTATTTGGTGCGAAATTTCGTAGTATAACAGTTTCTGTAAACTGTTATACAATTAAAAATGGGTAATAAAAATCGAAAAATTTATATTTTTTGTTACTTTAACACAAAATAAATAGAAAACATGTATATTCCGCCATTTCTGATCACATTATTTAGGACTGTTTAAATTTTTTCTAATTTTGTTTGTATAACAGTTATTTAAAGCCATAAAATATACTAAATCAAGTTGTAGAACGTTTTGTTGAATCTTAATTTATTATATTTTCAAATTTAGAACATTTTTGCAGTTATAGAACAGTTTTACGTGCTGTATAACAGTTATGCCAAACTGTTATAATCCTCGGAAAATGCATGAGAATGATTAATTTGCTTAGATATAGATATCCTGTTGAGTTTAGAGTTAAATTTCGTAGTATAACAGTTTTTGTTAACTGTTATACAAGTGTAAAAAATCGAAAAAAAATGCCAAAAAAATATATTATTATTTACTTTTTGTTTCAGTAGCTGTCATTTTAACTGATTTTCACTTCTTTAAAGAAAAATTTATCACAGACAATTTTTTCATTTTTTTTTTCTTATTTTTTTTCAAATTATTTTTTTTTCATAATTTTAATTTATTTCCTTAAACAATGTCATATATTTTCACACCTTCAACTTCAACAAAATTTCCACCCAACCATTAGTGTGTTTTGTTTGTTTGGCATTAATGAATCCATTAAAAACCTATTAAAAACATCATAAATTTTTCGAGCCAAAGAAAATCCTCATAATTTTTATGCAAAACTAAAAAACAAAACAAAATAGAAATAATTTAAGTTTGTTGTGTGTATCAAAACTGACCTAAGACACTGATTCACCTCCATCATTGTCGGGTTTTGATACACACATCAAAAATAAAATTATTTGAATGGCGAAAAAAACCAAACAAAAGACTTAAGACACAAACCTGCTGCTTGAAATTCAAAGACTTCAAAGAAAAACATAAAAGAGATGATTGAATTTTTCTATTGTAGCTGTGATTCATGGGTGTGAATAAATGAATGAATATTTAACGTCTGTATTAATTATGTTTATACCAACAAAATTATTCGTTTATAAAAGAAACAACATCATCGAATTTTTGATTTATTTTTTTTTTTTAAATTTGAAACCAAAATTCCATAAATTTTATGCAGCATCATAAAATGACATTTTGATAATAAATTGAAGAGGCGTATTACAGTTGCAGTTGAAATATATACACAGTAAAATCTTTTTCAAATGGGTACCTCTCTTTCCCTTGGAAGATATTGCAAAAAATTAGCCTCTGCTACTCTCTTTTTGAAGAAAATACACAGCATACCTTATCCTTCCGATTTTTTTCTTTCTTTTTCTTGATCTACGCGAAAGAGGCTTCACTGTATTTTTCCCAATTTTTTTTTTAATATTTATAAACAGCATTAGCTGTGGAAAAAAAATTAATGGCCCGCATAGGCCTGTGACCAAAAAGAGAAACCTGGCAACCTTTCAACATCGATAGTTAAACATTTTAAGCGAAAATTTGTTTGGCAAATTCATGAAATAATTAATGAAATATGAAAACAATGCCCAACTTCGTAATGCTAATAGAAATGAAAGGCAAAAAAAGTGGGAATTAAAAAAGTAAACAAAAGTGGTAAATTCAATGAAAACTCACAATTTTTATGCAGTCATTGGGGAATATTTAAAAAATTCATAATTAGCGAAATTAAAAAAAAATGATTTAAATAATTCCATAGAGTCCTGCAAAAATTTTACCGTTGGATTTTGAACAAAAATAAAAAAAAAATTAACAAAAGTTGTGGTGGTTTTTCTTCGCTAAATATTAATCCATGACCATCCAAAATGCTGGATTTCTGCGCAGTCCTAAACTCTAACATCATACGAAATTCTGTGTAGATTGGCCTTTTATTGTGAGCGACTGCAAAACTAAGAAAATTTAAAATTTTTGGTCCAATTCAAACAATCAAAATTTAGAAAAAAAAAAAAAATCTAAAAATCTTTGGTTTTTTGGTTTTTTGGGTTTTATTAATTTTTGCCAAGAGGCCATTCTGAACTGCTGAGAATTGCCAAAATCAGTCCAGGAATTCTTAAGTCATTGACAAAATATGTACTTTTTACACCACCAAGTCTTAAAACCCTTTACCAACTTTAGTACCATTCAGTACTTTCCGTACAATTATAGTACACATTTTTTAAAGCCACCTTTAAATCTCAATTCCAGATACCAACAGAGATCTCAATTTTAAATCTGAGAATTCCAGCCCTATCTGAAACCCAGATAACATCAGTAATCAAAATATCAAATTTCAGAATTTTGCCTCCATTTCTTCACCCAATACCAAATTTGGTACTATTTAGTATTATTCTTATTATTTTAGTACTGATTTACAAAATTGTTTCATATCTCAATTACAAGCACCAACAGAGACCCCAATATCAAATTTCAGAATTTTATCGCTTTTTCTTTACGAAATGGCAAATTTAGTACCATTTAGTACAATGATAGAACACATTTTTAAAACCATCTCAATATTTCAATTCCATATACCCCGAGAGGGAGAGAGAGAGAGAGAGAGAGTGAGAGAGCCTTATATCAAATTTGAGGATTCCAACCCTATCCCTTCACACAATACCAAATTTAGTACCATTTAGTACTTTTCGCACAAATAAAGGACGCATTTCCAAATCACCGTCAAATCTTAACTTCAGATATATATCAAATATAAAATTCCAACATTTTATCTCTATCCCTTCACAAAATACCAAATGTAGTACCATTTAGTACATTTCGTACAAAAATAGTACCCATTCGGAAAACCACCGCCAAATCTCAGCCTCCGATGCTAATAGTTATCCAAATATCAAATTTCGGAATTTTATCTCTATCCCTTGACCTAATACCAAAAATAGTACCACTTCCTACTTTTCGTACAATTATAGTACACATTTCCAAAACTACCTAAACATGTCCAGGCTAACGTAAACAGCGATCCTTATACCAAATTTCAGATTTCAAGCACCATCTGTTCACCCAATACCAAATAGTACCAAATGTGGTACTATTTAGTACTTTTCGGGCACTTGTAGTACATATTTGCAAAACCACCTCTTTATCACAAACTTACCCCCCCCAACAGAGATGCAAATACAAAATTTCAAAATTCCAGCTTCAACCGTTCACCCAAAATCAAACATTTCCGAATTTAGTACCATTTAGTACTTTTTGTACACATAAAGGACGCATTTCCAAATCACAGCTAAAATTCAAACGCAGATACCATCGGTAATGTAAATATCAAATTTCAGAAATTTTGTCTCCATTACTTCACCCAATACCAAATTTAGTACCATTTAGTACTTTTCGTTCAAGTACAAGTGCTTTTCGTACACATATACTGCCGAAACTACCTCCATATGTCCAGGCTACACATGAACAACGATCCTTTTGCAAAATTTCAGATTTCAAG